ATCAAATACTTGAATTTTAAATTTTTAAAAAAATCTCTCATTACATTTCGTTCCAAAATATTTGAAATTTCTCAAAAAAAAATTATTCTCTTAAATTCCTCATCTAAATACACTATAAATATATTATAAGTTTAATTCCTATGCATCTAATAGTTTAATTTTATTCTCCAAATTTTACGATATATTAAAGTTAGGTACATTTGTGAGTTTAATATTCAAATTTTAATAGAATTTATTCATTTCTTACTTAATTGAAAATTTGACGTGTAACTAATTATTAATCACGTAGAAAACATTTCACATATCAAAATATTTTTAAAAATCTAAATAAAATATAGATTATAATTTCACATATCAAAATAATTTTTTGTGTTTTAATTTGTTGAAATTGTGTATTATTTTAAAAATGTTTTGAAGTGCAAAATGTTTATTATCAACCTATCAATTAAGTAAGAGACGATTTATCTCGACAAATCGCACTAAATTTGCATGCCAAATTAATGTTTGAGCTCATTTTTAGATATCATAAATTTTATAAATTAAAATTATTCAATTAAAAACGTGGCACTAAAATTACATAAATATAAAAGTATGGGACCAAATGACCAATGTTGTATTTAAACCTGTATTTTTAATTTATATAATCTTAATTTAACGATCTTTCAACAGTATTTAAAAGTTATTCACCAAATAAAAAAGTTTATTTAAAAGATAAATATTAATCAAAATAATTAAAGAAAATAAAATTAATTATCTCATTTATAAAATTGAAGACTTAATTAAATTTATTATATAAAGATGTGTAATTTATACTCTCTTCTATTGAGAGATATTTAAATTTGACGGACCCAATTTGATTTTAAAAATTACATCTTCCCCCTAAAATATTAATATAACCTATTTTTGATTTATTTCTAACAAAATTAAACAAGCTTGTTAAGGAATATTTTTCAATTCTTGATATCATCGACAATAATAATTAATTTTAATTATGTTCTAATAATTTTATGATTCTTGAAGATGTAATAAGGATTTAGAATTAAGTGCCAAAGGCAATGGTAGGAGTACGTTTAAGCTCTATTTCATTTGTTGAATTTCTATAAAAGAAAATCAAAATTAGTTATTATTAATACTAAAAGAGTTAGTCGGGGAAGGAAAAATATCTTTAAGATCGATGTTCATTCATAATGTTCATCACTGTTAATTAAAAGTTGATTCAAATAAAAAGAGTACAGTCTAATAATTTATTTGTAAAAGAAAAAAGGAATGTAATTTTCAAACAATCATTATAAATATATACTTTTTTTAATAAGCTCATTTCACATTTTTTTTCTTTTCCGTTAGATTACATATAGGTGTTATTTTCTACAATTGTTTTGCAAATTAGCGTCAATGAATTTCCGTCGGCGTCAACACCAGCGATACAATACAATAGTATAGTGGAATCTATGGACGAATCATATTGGTATCAAGTTACAATGTTTCTCATAGTGATGATATATAAAAAATGTTATTATAAAAATAATATATATAAATATAAATTTATTTAATATATTATTATACGTAATTTTAGTAATTTTGAATGAAATTACATAATATATTATGTATTATTATCATATCTATATTTTTTTTAATAATATATTAACATATAATATAGGTAAAAAATATTTTTTAGTGATATATTATACATTAATATTTGTTGTAACCTGATTAATCATTGTGTAATTTTATAATTTTATTTGAGATTAAATTTTTTTTATAAAAATTATGATGTAGGTAAAATGTGATAACACTTATAATTAAAAATAAGATAAGTTTTATTAGTGAATTTTTAGATCCCAACCTTGATATAAATTTTTTAAAATAAATTATTAAGAAAATGTGAATTTTCTTAAATAACTTAGAAAATATTATTACTAATGCTTGTTGTAAATAACTTATAATTTTTTTTTTTTTTGCTTTCAAGAGACGTACTCAGTTGACAATACTAAGACAAACAGTCTATACACATGTCTAGCGTTCAACCTTTAACGAACCCCAAAAAACTATATTTTAAGGGGGCAAAACAATAATATAGAAACTAATGAATCACAGGCTACAACAGTTCTTAATTGCATGAGTAACAAAGTTATGGAAAACAATCGTCCCGCATTCTATTGATCAATAGGTAATTATATACAAGTATACAGGCTAAATTATCTCCTTCATATCCTTGATATGATTTGGCATTATTCTGCAATAAAGGAGAATTAAATCAGATAAAATATATGCCAAATTAAATATTCTAATTGAGGAAATAATCCCAAGAATTATGCATGAGAGCATAACCCATATAGCATATCCTATATTACCCCCCCCCCTCAAGGTGGAGCATGAGGATTACGAATGCCCAGCTTGTTAAGCAGAATCTGAAATTGATGTCGTCTTAAGGCTTTTGTAAGGATGTCGGCAAGTTGTTCTTGTGTCGGAACATATGATGGTTGAATGGTGCCTTGGAGTATCTCATTACGAATGAAATGACAATCCACTTCAATATGCTTTGTCTGTTCATGGAAAACTGGATTTTTCGCTATATGCAAAGCAGCTTGACTATCACAGTGGAGGTGCATAGGTCCTTTATGAGAAATGCCTAAATCAGACAGTCAGCTCCGAAGCCACTTAAGTTCACAACAAGTAGTAGCCATAGAACGGTATTCTGCTTCAACAGATGAACGAGAGACAGTATGTTGTTTCTTGGTTTTCCAAGATATAGGAGAGTGACCCAAGAACACAAACCACCCAGTAGTTGAACGCCGAGTTAATGGACATCCGGCCCAGTCAGAATCACACCATCCATGTCGTTGGAAATCAGATGTGCTTTTGAGGAGAATTCCTTGCCCAGGACTTCCTTTGAGGTATCTCACAATTCGAATGGCTGCATTCCAATGTTCTTCACGCGGTTGTTGCATGAAATGCGACAAGGTATGGACACAGTAGGACAATTTCGATCTAGTGAAACACAAGTATATGAGGCGCCCAACAAGGCGTCGATACCTGTCAGGTTGATCAATGTAGCGTCCAGTGGCGAGTCCAAGTTGATGATTCTGCTCAAGAGGTGTAGCCACGGGCTGTGCACCAAGTAGGCCTGCTTCTTGAATGATGTCTAATGCATATTTACGTTGACACAAAAATATTCCACTTGAATTCCTTGCAACTTCTACTCCCAAAAAATATTTTAAATGTCCCAAGTCTTTCATGTGAAAGCACTTGCTAAGATATTCTTTAAAGCGTTGAATTGCAGCGGAATCGTTCCCACATATGATTAAATCATCTACATATACCAGAACCATCATTTGCACTCCATGGGCAAGAAGAGTAAAGAGTGAGTGGTCACAACCTGATTG